CTGAAAACTGCCTCCTAATCTTTCCCCATCCTAAAGAAACAATGATAAAGGTGGTGTCTTAAAAAACCCTGCTATTTTGACAACATAAAGCCACATCTCAACATTGTTCTTAAGGGGAATAGCACCATGTTAACCCAAACCCTGCATTTTTCCACCCTCAGATTTTCAGAACTGGCGAAATGTTTGGTGTGCAGAGCAAGGGGAATGAAGAGAGGCCACCAGTGGATGCTGGATGACAGCCATGAGGCATCCTATGATGACATCTCTGTATTTGTCATTCCACTACACAACAAGGAGGAGGACTGACTGTTAGGATGACACACAGAACCTCTGTGTGTCAGCATCAAACCGAGACTGAGGGATTTCTGCTGTGTGTGTACACTCTGTTCCAGCAAAACCATTTGCAGTGGAACCTGAAAATGCACAGCCAGCACTTAGCAGAGGATGAACAAGAAGATTAGCTCCTTAAAAACCTGCAAGAGAGCAACACTGGGCAACAAATCATTCCCCTTTCTTGTTGTTAGGCCAAGGATAAATTGCAAAGGGGGCCATGCAAGCTGAAGGGGACTATTTCCAATATCTCTGCGGTACAGCAACACTCAAATCCATATTTCTACTGAACCCTCTCCCTTTTTAATACTGAACAGTAAGGATCAATTGAGATCCACCCAGTGTGAAAAGCTGGCTTTTAATCAGACTTGAACTGGATGCATAAGCTAAAGCATCTCTCATATGCATTTGCTGTAATGTGAGATGTGCTAAAAACCTGGGAGCTGCTGCCAAGCCAGCACTGGGCACAGCCGTGCCTGCGGCATGGGAACACTGGAGCAGGAGCCCAGACCTCGAGACAGTTGCCATTTGTAAGGCAGCACCACCTCAAACCAGCCGACGTTGGCTGGTGAAGCTACACACTGGTGTACGGGAGCCTCCTGTGCAAAGAGACGCACATGCCTTACTGTTATTGAGGAACGCTGTAACACCATGTACAGATTTCTAACAAATCTTAGTCCACATTGCTGACACTTTTTCTATTCAGGTCATTTCTGACAGCAAAGCTGGTTTTGTAGCAGGAGCACTGATGAGAACTGAGGCGTCTGCGTATATCGGGTGATTTAGTAAAAGAGCTCCGAGTAAAATAAAACCGGTTTGTTGCAATTTGTCTGCAGTGCTCAATCTCAAGCACTTACACTCATTATAAAAGGAGCTGCAGCACAGCAGACATGCCAGAGTTGTGCCTTAAACTCAGAGGATCTGCTTCTCAACCCGTTCATTAGCCAGGCAAATTCAGGTCTGGACAAGCTTCCCCATCTCCCCGAGTCCCCACTTTAGTTTCCATTATTCATTACACAGGTTCCAAGATTCCCTGGAGCACCAGCCAAACCCCAGCGTGTGTTTAAGTCCCACAGTGATTAAAGTCCAAATAAAAGTACTTTGTTTTTTTTTTTCCCACGCATCTTAACTGTGGTGTTATTCCTGTTGGGGGTTTTACACAGACCTGGGCTGGAGAAACACAGCCTTAGAAAATCACAGGGGAGTTTTTGCTTTGTATTTCTCTTTGCCAAGAAGCAGTTTGTCACTAGAGGCGTTCCCTTACCAGTACTGACCCAAGGGCTTGGTGCCAAAAGATGATTTCCTGCAGTGGGAGGAAATTCCCCCCAGGAAAGGGACAGCCTTCTCAGCTCCCTGCTCATGGCTTAAGCAAGGACAAAAAACGTTTCTGTCCAGCTTCACTTTCCCCTCACCCTCTTAAGTTTAACCTGACAATAATGCACATGGGGGTTTGCCCATGTTAATGACATTGGCTGCTGTCCTCCCTTCAGCAGCTGTAACACTACATTTACATGCACTGACTGTAACGATCCAAGACTCTTGTTACTCAAATCCAACAAGTTATTTTTTCACCATGCTGAGAAAGGCTCAGCTCTTCCATCCAGACCACAGGGTGCTGCAAACACCCCTCTCCCTAGGGCACCATACCTCCAGAAGTAGCTGTCACAAGGCTGCTTACCTATCCTGATACATTCCTAGGCTCTTTAAACGAGCAATTTATGTAAGGATAACTTCAGAGAATCAGAGTTTTTGACTTTACAAAACAAAGGGGCTTTTCAAACAATGGATGATTTTCCCAATCCCCCTCTAAGAAACCAGCAAGCTGTATCACACTGGACAAATGCAGAATTTATAGCACTCAAGTGATGTCTCTACAAAATATTTATTGGTCACAGCCACAACACCGAATTCTCCATGTATGTAGTATTTTGTGACAAAGCATAATTTGACTTTATGTATTTACACTCATCTGGGAGATACCACTGAGGAGTCCAACTCCCCATAGCAGCTCACGACCACAGAGACCAAGTTTCCAAAAGGCTCACCAGGTTCCCAGCCCCTGACCCAAAACCAAGGTGAAGTCTCTTAAAGTGCTAATACAGTCAAGAGGCATTGGAAAAGATATGCTGCTGTTTCCAAATTTGTCACTGAATCACTCCTGTGTTCCCCAGAGCAGGTGTTGGGACATTAACCAAGGACCTGGGCACTTCAATAAAAATCATAAAAATCTCTCAAGACTGACTTGGAGAATTACATGTGAAATCTCCCACAGGCAGATGTGCTCAGCCACCACCACTGCTTATTCAGAGGTGGGCTGTTGAGTCTCACTTCCCCCTTTTTTTGAAGAAAGGTCTTTATTTCATCCCAAAGAATAAGGAGGCATTCACCTTTTAAATGTCAAACTGGGAGGGGGAATGCTGTTTCCTGCTTGTCTTAGTTGGCCACTCCGTTAGACCTGGAAGGGCTGTTTTTCTTGAGGTCTATTTCTCATTAGCTGGTAGCCCTGAGGGACACAGGAATTGCAGCCCTGAGACTCCTAGAGAAGCACATAGAAGCTGGAAGCTAAAAGCTTTATTCACCTTTCCTGTCTAACCGTCTAGAAACACATTATCCTGAAGTTCCTTGACAATACTTGGCACATTTGCTATTTGTAAAGGCAGATGGAAAACACTCGGTGCTACATCAACAGAAACATCTCTGCCTGTGTGGGTGGAAATGGGTCCTGGGAAGGCTCAGCTGTAATCCTGAACTGAGCACTAGTGCTGTTGTCCACAAGCCTGTACATCCCTCTCTTAACTCCAGAAAGCCACTGATGTGCTTGTATGTTCTCCTAAACCACTCCTCTGGTCCCCTTTTCCTTAAACATTTCATGCCACCACTCACTATCTTTCACAACATTGCAAGCAGAAGAGAGCTGAACAACAGGCTTTAGACAAGTGCTCAAAACACCTCAGCAAAGAACATTTGTAAAATAAAAGACTTTCAAAAGCTTCCCTGTGAAAAGGAACAAGGGATATGGCCGGAGGCTATCTGTTCACTTCCTCAGGCAACACACTTGATAAAATTCTCCAAGATCATTTACTACTGAACGCTGAAGTTTAACTGTTAAGATGCACTACAAACCCCAAATAGCTGCATATTACAAACCACTGCAAAATACCAAAGGTAAAACAGCACCACGCAGCCTGAAATGCATTACTACTGAGTTGGAGTGGCTGAAGCCTGAGACAACCACCTCCCTTTGCACTGGGCAGTTGCATTTATAGGCAGCGGAGGGACAGTATGGGAAGAGGGACAGCATGGGAAGAGGGACAGCATGGGAAGAGGGACAGCATGGGAAGAGGGACAGCATGGGAAGAGGGACAGCATGGGAAGAGGGACAGCATGAACTTCTTGTCTGCACCTCCAGCAGCAGGCCTGTGTGGCAAGAGGGAAAGCATCCATCAGTTTGCCAGAAGACATCAAACCCACATCACAGATCTGTGGTTAGAAATGCCTCCTGTGGCAGCATCAGCAGGGACAAGCCACAGCGCCACAGAGAAGGTTTGGCCACAGCAGGGATCCAAGCCTCACGTTCTGAGCCTCCTGAGGGGCTGCTCCTGCCTCTGTCACAGGCTCTGCACACACTGCTGCTCTGTGAACAGAACCAGCAGTGCAGAAATGCTCAGTGCCCATCACCAGCTCTTAGCACAGCATGGTTCCACTGACAAGGACAAAAGGCAAGAAAATGCAAAACACAAGCAGATTTACTTTTCCAGGGAGACATGATATGA